GGGCCCAGGTATCAGGGTGTGTGAAGGTCTCCAGGAGACTCCAGCTGCCCTGAGGAAGCTCTAGGCCTGCCTGTGCTGTCTCCCTGCCAGCCAGTGCCCTTTGTATCACCATTTCCTGCTGAGACCCCAGCCTCCACCCAGTGGGCTCCTCTCCTGGATGCTCCCCTCCTTCTGGGCTCCTCACATGTGGAAACCTCCCAGGTCAGCCAGGCCTGTGATCCACTTGCCCGGTCACAGTTCACTTGGGCTCTAAGACAAATACAGCACATTGAGCAACTGAGCTGGTATTGGGGGCCAGAGCCTGGTGTGGGAATGAGCAAAACTGATGACTCAGCAGAAGGAGAAGGCAGGGTGACTCCTGCCTGTAATCCCAGAGCCTTGGGACTTCAACAGGGAAGGATCCCTTGAGCCCAGGAGTTTGAAACCAACCTGGGCAACAAAGCAAGACCCCTCTACAAAAAGCACTTTTAAAAATTAGCTGGGTGTGGTGGCTTGATGTTGTAACCCCAGCTATTCAGGAGGTTGAGGTGGGAGGATGGCCTCAGCCTAAGATTTTGAGGCTGCAGTGATCCAGGATCCCACTACACTCCAGCATGGGTGGCAGAGCAACACCCTGTCTCAAAAATACACAAAGGAAAAGAAGGGAGGGAGGGGGATTCCGGCCAGGCTGGGTTGTCCTACTGAAATGGGATATCCACGGGGAAAGAGCAGGGATGGCAGAGGCCCAGAATTCTGGAATGTTGCAGCCAGAAGCTGTGCAGGGTGAGGGCAACCTGGGCCACTCCACTCTGGAACTCACCTGAGCTCTCTGGAGCCTGGCCTCGTGCTCTCCTGGCCTGCAGGGGCTGAGTGTGGGCGCGGTGTGGGGAGTTGAAGGTTTTGAAGGTTCAATGTGGGAGGGATCTGGAGTCAGGGCTGGGACTTAGCTCAGTTCCAGGAAGGAAGGGGTGGGGTTGAGGGTGGGAACCTCAGCTGCAGCCAAGCTGAGAGCAATCTACAAACCCAAGATGTGAGTTTAGTGTGTAGAAAATACAAGAATGAAAGGCAAAAGGGGCCTTTGGTATTTGGAGTTTTTTTGTGAGCTGGCACCAGGTTCCTGACCTTCTCTCTGATGACCTTCTCTCTAAACTCCACCCGGCAGGGCAGGCCAACAGACAAGTTTTCTTTTTTCTGTTTTTCATGAGACAGAGTCTTGCTCTGTCGTGCAGGCTGGAGTGCAGTGGTGCAATCTTGGCACACTGCAACCTCCGCCTCCTGAGTTGAAGTGATTCTCCTGCCTCAGCCTGCCGAGTAGTTGGGGAGTAGTTGGGATTACAGGCCTGCGCCACCACACTCAGCTAATTTTTGTATTTTTAGTAGAGATGGGGTTTCACCATGTTGGCCAGGACGGTCTCGAACTCCTGAGCTCAGATGATCTGCCCACCTCAGCCTCCTAAAGCGCTGAGATTACAGGTGTGAGTCACCATGCCTGGTGGACAAGCTTTCTCTAATTGATCCAGGCAGGGGAGGTGAGTGAGTAGAGGGGAAAGATGAGATAGGCAGGCCTGGGAAAGGTCACCTACCTGCTGGCTGCAAGATAGTCTTGAAGGCGCCAGGGGTTCTGACCCAGTGCAGCCCTCAGGCCCCTATCAGCCCATGCATTCCAGGTTCTGACCACAAGGCCAGCCTGGAGTGATGTGTGTGGGCAGAGTGAAGGGGCAGGGGTGGAGCAGAGCACGGATGCACAGAAGAGGCTGGGCGCGGTGGCTCACGCCTGTAATCCCAGCACTTTGGGAGGCTGATGAGGGTGGATCACCTGGGGCCAGGAGTTCAAGACCAGCCTGGTCAACATGGTGAAACCCTGTCTCTACTAAAAATACAAAAACTAGCTGGGCGTGGTGGCGGGTGCCTGTAATCCCAGCTACTTGGGAGGCTGAGGGAGAATTGCTTGAACCTGGGAGGTGGAGGTTTCAGTAAGCTGAGATCACACCACTACACTCCAGCCTGGGCAACAGAGTAAGACTCCGTCCCCTCCCCCGTAAAAAAAAAGAACAAAAAAGAACAAGGAAACAAGGACACAATGGAGTCCCATTGCCCTGGGAGCCAGCTTCAGCTTCATGGTTCCCAGGGCACCTCACAGAGCATCAGTAGAAGATCCTAGAAGAACAACAACCCTGAAGGTGCTTTTCTTTCCCTGGATTTGAAGGAGGCTCCGCAGACAGAGGCCAGAGAAGGTTCGGGCTTGGAAGCCAGGGGGCCCTATGGAAAGAGGGCATCCCCCATCCTCCTTGGTCTTTGTCCTCACTATTTGCATTTAATTCCAAGGTGAGTCTCCCAAGCCTTCCAATAACTGCATGAGCTCAGAGGCAAGCAGGGGCAAGCTGAGGCATGGGGGCAAGTTGAGGCACGGGGGGCAAGCTGAGGCATGGGGGCAAGTTGAGGCATGGGGTTTCCAGGCACAGCAGATGCTGCTCACACGCTAGGGCCACAGGCTTCTCTCCCTCCTCTGTGACCCTAAGGAAGCCCCGTAACTGGCAGGACCTTGGGCTACTAGCTCCACCCACCCGCTCAACAATGACCATAAAGCACCCTTGACTCAGACTTTTTTTTTATTGTATTCAAGTAAAAATCCGCCATATCTGGATCCGTGGCAGGTGGCACAGAAAAGAGGTAGGAAGGGAACAGGGACACCAAGGATCAGGTCTCCAGCAGATCTGTCCAGTGTGCCTGTAGAGGCAAGAAAGGTCACAGGCAGCCCAGGGCAGGGAGTGGGGTAGGGAGCCTGCAGCCAAAGCCCACTCACCTCCTCTAATTCCAAGTCTTCTGCTTCTTTCTCAGTGTCCATCTGGCACAGCCAGATCAGGTCTCCCCACAGCAGTGACTTCTCACAGCTACCAAGGGGAGGGGCAGGCAGGAGATACAGAGTCAGACTCCACAAGCCCCCTCCAGGCTCAGCCATGGAGGCTGACATGAGGACTCAGCTGTCCGGGGCCTGGACTGCACAACTGGGAACCCTCTTCCCAGAGCTGGACCAGGCCGGGGCCGGGGAACTGCACTCACCTAGGGCATTGGCCCTCTAGGGGCAGAAGCTGCCCCGGTTCTTCCCGAAGGAACTCCTCTGCCAGGCAGATCATGTGGGCCCTTAGGAGGCAGCCAGGGTGGGGGCAACACAAGGGTCCCTGTTCATCCTGTCCTAGGCAGCAGGCAGGTAGGACACAAGGAGAGAGAGGGAGCTGGCAGCGAGTCCCTCTGTACAGCAGGCACTGTTCTGGGCATTACACAGCTCCATCCCCAGAGGCAGCAGCGACTTATTTTCATCTTACAGATGAAGAAACTGAGGTGGGGAGCTAAAATCTTTGCCCCCTGGGGCTAAGCTGGTAAACGTCCTGTGAGCATCAGTGACTGACTGAGTCACAGCCTTGCCACTGCAGCCAGACCTGAACTTCCTAACAGATCAGCAACCCCCACAGGACACTGAATCTCTGCAGGGCAAGATCTCTACTCACTATTACCAGGAGCTCAGTAGCAGGTGCCCATCGTCCATTATTTTATTAAATATTTAGGCTGGGCACAGTGGCTCAAGTCGGTAATCCCAGCATTTTAGGAGGCTGAGGCGGGTGGGATCACCTGAGGTCAGGAATTTGAGAGCAGCCTGGCCAACATGGTTGAAACCCCATCTCTACTAAAAATACAAAAATTAGGCAGGGCGCGGTGGCTCAAGCCTGTAATCCCAGCACTTTGGGAGGCCGAGGTGGGTGGATCACGAGGTCAAGAGATCGAGACCATCCTGGCCAACATGGTGAAACCCCGTCTCTACTAAAAATACAAAAAATTAGCTGGGCATGGTGGCACGTGCCTGTAATCCCAGCTACTCAGGAGGCTGAGGCAGGAGAATTGCCTGAACCCAGGAGGCGGAGGTTGCGGTGAGCCGAGATCGCGCCATTGCACTCCAGCCTGGGTAACAAGAGTGAAACTCCGTCCCAAAAAAAAAAAAAAAAAAAAAATGAGCCAGATGGGGTGGCGCAGGCCTGTAATCCCATCTACTTGGGAGGCTGAGGCAGGTGAATGGTTTTAAACTGGGAGGCAGAGGTTCCAGTGAGCTAATATCACTGCACTTCAGCCTGGGCAACAGAGCAAGTCCCCGCCTAAAAAAAAAAAAAAAAAAAAAAAAAAAAGAAAAAGTGCAGCGGAGCGATCATAACTCACTGCAGCCTTTGAACTCCTGGGCTTGAGTGACCCTCCCATCACAGCCTCCCCAGTAGCTCAGATTACAGTCTTGTGAGTGCCACCATGGCCGTCTACTCAGAGCTGCGATTATAAATCGGGAGCCAGAGAAGACCTCACGGAGAAGGTGGTAGGTTATCAAGACAGATGGCCTTGGGAAGAACCTTTTTGTCAAAGGGACAAGGTGAAGGCCCTGAGCAGGTCCTGCTTTGCTCAGGAATGGCCATAAGTAATATAGCATCTGCATCTTAGAGATGGGGATAGGGTGGCCAAAGCGTGTCAGTGGGTTCCCTCAAGAAAAAGCTGCATCCGAAGTCGTCTGGACCCTAGAGCCATCTGTGCCTGGGGTAGACCTCACCTGGATGGTCCGGGCGCACAGGGCGCAGCAGGCCCCTGCATCCCCTTGGTCTAGCTCAGGCTTGGCGTCATCAAAGGGACCTGCACGGCGCCTTAGGGCCGGGGCCTGGGGCGGTGGAGGCCCGAAGGCCAGGGGCACGTGAGGCGGTGGCGGCAGGCAGAGGTCCTGGCGGAGGTCAGGGCGCAGCCAGCGCAGCGTCAGCGGGAGGCGCGCCCAGGGCGGTGCGCGCAGCATGTGTGCCAGCACGCGCAAGTGGAACGTGAAGGCCGTCTCTCCACGCAGGCGCGGCCCCACGTGCGCTAGGCGGCGCGAGGCGTGCGGGTGCTGCCAGGCCCACTCGAACTGTGGGCGGAGTACGGGGCGTCAGGGCAGCTCGCAGCAGGAGGCGGACCCCAAGCCCTTCCCGGCCCGCAGCGTCCCAGTCTCCTTCCTTACCCGAAGGGCAGCCACGGCGGATGGGAAGCCGTGCACAACAAGCACCATCTCCCTGGGGAGAAGAACGGGGGTGTCCCTGTGAGCCCCACCGCGGGTCCAGACCAGCACCCTCGCCGTGGGTCCCTGGCAATCCCACCGGAGATTGGGGTTCTTACTCCCGGCTTCAGCCGAGCCCCAGGCCCCGCCCCTGCCTGAAGGCATGCCCTTTGTGCCTGCCCACCTCAGGCCACGCCTCCAGCCCAGGTACCCACCTGTCCCCACTCCTCTCTCTCCTGAGCTCCACCCGACCCCAGCGTGCCCACCAAACCCCTTATGCTGGACCCCAGCCTGGATCATCACCCCCGCCCCAGCCAGCTCCTCCCAGAGTTCCACCACGTAGATGCCCCGGGCACCGCCTCCCCGTCACGCTCCGCCCCTGCGACAGGCCCCGCCCCCACCCTGGACGCCCCGCCCATGTTACATCAGGCTGGTCGGTCTCCTCAGGCCTGTGCCCCGCAGGGTCGGCCTCCTCCAGGAAGCCTTCCTCCGGGCACAGAAGCCCAACCCCTCTCACCAGGGCCCTCGCCCGCTAGTCCTCCAGGCCCCGCCTTTTTTGCGACCGCCGTTGTGCTGCTGAACCCGACGAGCAGGATTGACAGTGAACCCCACGTAGACGCGGCCCCGGTGCCGGGGGTTCAGGCAGTAGAGCAGGTAGACGCCGAAGAAGCGCCTCGGCCTCGCTGCGACCCCCGCGGGACCCATCGGGCCTCGGGGTTAGGGGACAGCAGCAGGGGGCTGACTGCCGTAATCTAGGGCCCAGGGGAGGGCTGGATCGCTAGGGCTGCGGGGTGCTTGCTTCTGAACAAGCTCTCAGGGACTATCCCGCGGCTGCCTGAAGGCCGCCGTGGTGCGAGTTCGTACCCCTCTCCGGTCTGGAGGCGGGTGTAGAAGTCCGACCTCGGAAGCCAGGCTGCTGTGCAGGCTGCAAGCACCTACCAATCAGCATCGGTTCCGTCCGAGTCCCACCTTCTGAGGGCTCTGATTGGCTTACGTATGGCAGGCGCGAAAAGCCCAGACTGTTGGAAAGCCCGACTGCTTGAGGGCGGAAGTAGTGCGCCGACGTACGCCTTAGTAAGGGCGGAAGTGGCTTCCCCAGCGGAAGTGGCTCCTGTAAGGGGGCAAAGCAGCGTGGCTGTGGTCCTAGCTGGGGTTCTAGGAAACAGCAGGCCGGGATCGCACACCCGAGGCTGGGGTGACCCAAGAGACTGTAGGTGACCCCTCTGGGCTGCCGCCCCGGCTGGCATACCGCCATGGAACTCAGCGCCGAATACCTTCGGGAGAAGCTGCAGCGGGACCTGGAGGCGGAGCATGTGGTGAGTTGAATCGCCCGAAGAGGGGAAAAGAGCTCTGCGGCCGGGTTCGGCACCATTCATATTCTTCCGCTCGGTAGGAGGTGGAGGACACGACCCTCAACCGTTGCGCCTGTAGCTTCCGAGTCCTGGTGGTGTCGGCCAAGTTCGAGGGGAAGCCGCTGCTTCAGAGACACCGGTGAGGCCTTGGGAACACCTTGCCCAGCGCAGTGTCAGCTCCTGCACCACAACCCCAGCCACTCCCCTTTCCCCTGCAACCTAAGTCCCGCACTTTTGCGGGCGTGGCTCAGGGACCTTGAGGATCCCGCCTTCGTGGTCCCTGCTTCGAGCATTTCGATGTAGACACTCCCCAAGTATGTGTTCCCACGGCCTGGGGACTAAAACCTTGGCGACACCTACAGTCTCTTGGGTCACCCCAGCCTCGGGTGTGCGATCCCGGCCTGCCGTTTCCTAACCTCATCTCTCGTCCCAGGCTGGTGAACGCGTGCCTAGCAGAAGAGCTCCCGCACATCCATGCCTTTGAACAGAAAACCCTGACCCCAGAGCAGTGGGCCCGTGAGCGGCAGAAATGAGGGACTAGGACCTTCACAGCCATTAAATTATAAATCCGGACCAGCTTCTGTGTCGGTGTGTGTGTGTGGGAGGGGTGCTGAGGCCGAGTCTAGGACCTGGTCTCTCTCCCTGCCCTGCTTCTGTCCGTTGTTTTACCTTGGACAAGTCCCTTTCCCCATGTAGGCCCTATCCCTGCTTGTAAAATAAAAGTTCTATCATGAAAGTCCCTTCCAGGGTCTGCCTAGAAAGCCTTCTCTCTACAATTCCATGTAGACATCTAGGAGTCTGTACTGCCACCACCCACCCAACTCTCAGAGAGCTCAGGACTCCTGCTCTCTGCCCGCCTTCAAGGTGCAGAGATGAGAAAGTGCTCCGGGTTTCAGGGCCGTGACAGGAACAAACCTCTTCCTCTCCTCGACATCACCGCAGTGCCGGAGACAATACAGAATTCCATATATTCCCTGCAGGTTCTCCCAGGCCTTGTCACGCCCAAGAGGGAGTGGTACCCAAGTAGGGGGTCATCACCACCTGAAATGCTGATGTTTTCAGACCCACTGGAGAAAGTCCAGTGGCCCCGTAGCCCTGGGCTTGATGTGGCTACAGCTGCCGCTGGAGGACTATGGAGGTTTTAGGAATAGTAGATGTGGGAAGGGGATAGGGCTGAGATTAGAGCAGGAATATAAGGCTGACCAAGTCAGAAAATTGGGATAGGTGATGTCCGTGTATCCGTGTTCACCACAGGTTAGTACGGTTGCTATCACCTTGTTTTTGTTTGTTTGTTTTTGGTTTGTTTGTTTGAGACAGGGTCTTGCTGTTGCCCAGGCTGGAGTGCAGTGGCGCCATGTCAGCTCACTGCAACCTCCACCTCCCAGGTTCAAAAGATCCTCGTACCTCAGCCTCCTAAGTAGCTGGAATTACAGGTGTGCACCACCACGCCTGGCTAATTTTTGTACTTTTAATAGAAATGGGGTTTCACCATGCTGGCCAGGCCGGTCTCAAACTCCTGGCCTCAAGTGATCTGCCCACCTCAGCTTCCCAAAGTGTTAGGATTACAGGATCACTTGAGGCCAGGAGTTTGAGACCAGTCTGGCCAACATGGTGAGACCCCCATCTCTACTGAAAACACAAAATTAGCCAGACGTGGTGGCATGCGCCGGTGGTCCCTGCTACTTGGGAGGCCGAGGCACGAGAATCACTTGAACCTGGGAGGCAGAGGTCGTGGTGAGCCGAGATTGCGCCATTGTACTCCATTCTGGGCACCAGGAATGAAACTCTGCCTCAGAAAAAAATCAGTAAATAAATAAAAAAGCAGGAGACTTAGACTCTGACATGGGATCTGCCTTCAGTGATCTGGGCTTCTGTTTTCAGCCTCACTTTCTTTTGTAAACTAGGGTCAGCCTGTTGCTAGTTCTGTCTTTTCCTTGCAAAAAGTTTCCTTGTTGTTTATTTATATTTTTAAAAGACAGGGTCTTGCTGTGTCACCCAGGCAGCAGTGCAGTGGTGCGATAGTAGCTCATTGCAGCATTGATTTCGTGGGCTCAAGGGATCTTCCCGCTTCAGCCTCCTGAGTAGCTGGAACTACAGGTGCGAACCACCACGCCATGTTCATTTTTTATTCTTTGTAGAGACGGTGTCTCTCGCCACGTTGCTCATGCAGATCTCAAAGCCCTGGGCTCAAGTGATCCTCCCTCGCCTTGGCCTCCCAGAGTGCTGGGATTACAGGCGTGAGCCCCCTTGTCTGGGCTCCCTTGTTAGTTTCATCTTTGGACCTGCAGTTTAAAAGATGTCGGCCGGGTGTGGGGGCTTATACCTGTAGTCCCAGCACTTTGGGAGGCTGAGGTGCGCGGATCACAAGGTCAAGAGATCAAGACTACTAAAAATACAAAAATTAGCTGGGCATGGTGGTATGTGCCTGTAATCCCAGCTACTTGGGAGGTGAGGCAGGTGAATCACTTGAGGTGAGGTGAATCACTGCTTGGGAGGCAGAGGTTGCAGTGAGCCGAGATTGCACCACAGCACTGCAACCTGGCGACAGAGCAAGACTCTGTCTCAAAAAAAAAAAAAAAAAGATGTCCACCCCGTAAGTGATGGTTCATTTCCTCACAAACAACTACTAGCAGAGTCACGTGCAACCTGATGCTTTAGTTGACCAGGAAAGGCAGATTTGGGGTAAATATGGGAATTTTTGAAGTCCCAGGCTAGGGCCTTAAATAGCTCAGCTGTGTCAGCTCTGAGGAGGAGCTGGGAATCGGAGAGCAGTCTCCTGGCCCACATCAGCATGGCTGGTTCCTACCCTCGAAAGCCCTGTTCCCATGCTGTAGGATGTTAGGGGGCATCCCGCATCCTTTACCATGGGTTAGTCCCCTCAGCGCGGTAGAGGGGAAGGAAGCTCAAGGGCTGGTCGGTTCAGCAAACCCCGCGTCTAGGGGACCAGTCATTAGAGTCTGGGAGATACAAGAAAATAAAGCCATTTTATTATGATTTCTTTTCTCTGCCATGTGGCTGGGAGTCGGGAAAGAGTGGACGGGTGTGAATGGCTGACCCTGCTGAAGGCCCTGCAGGGCTCTACTTGGCCTGGACCGTCTCCTCCAGCCTGTCCAAGCGCTTCTGTAGCTCCTGCACCGTGGCCTGGAGCTTCCGCATCTCCTCCTCCAGCCGGGACACAGCATCCTGGGGACCCCGTGCTGCGTTAGGCCCAGCTCCTTCCGGGCTCCCCTTGCCCTGGCATCTCCTGAGCCCCATCCCAACAGCCCCCCAGGCCTCAGGCCCTTCTGTCACTCAGCCAGTTGCTGCCTGGAGACCTGCAGGCCTCTCAGTCTGAAACTTGTTTTCTGGGGCCTCGGGATTACCCACTCCCAGCCCTGCAAAGATTCCCAATGTGGGGAGTTTCAGCTGCCCCAAATGCCAGGCCCACCCCACCATCCCTGCCTTATTCCCTGGCTCCCTAGCTCTCTCACCGAGCTGGGAGTGCCACTGGCCTCTGGTGCTGTCCTCCTGCGCCCGGTGTCCAGGCCCCGGTTGACCCTCAGCTCCCGGCTTTTCGGGGGCACATAGCCATCCTTGAGGGAGATGAGGAGGGGCCCAGCATCCCGACCCCCCAGCCACTCCTCAGCCGTGAGGGCAGGGTCGGGCCCTGCAGTGGGTGGATACAGGTCCTCCTGGAACAGGTCCGACTGTGGGCAAGGCCAGGGCTGGTGAGAAAAGTGCTTATGCCAGGACACCCCCCAGCAAGGCCGCGAAGTCAGTGCCCAGCCCAGAGCCCAGGGCGGGGCGGGGAAGCATCACCTTTCGAGGCACCGTCATGGCGATGGGCTCACACCTCCGCTCGTGCAGCTTGTAGAACCTGTGGGAAAGGGGAGGTGAGCGAGGCTCACAGCCTGGTTGGGCGGGCTTGCGACTGCCTGAGGAGTGTGCTGCGGTCAGGACCGAGGGTCAGTCACCTGGCGATCTCACACTTGTTCACCTCCAGGCCACGTTTGGGCATGTAGCCCATGCCCCGCTGGGACTCCTTGGAACTGAACATGGAGAGATAGTGCAGGAACGGGGCCTCGGAAGTGATCTCGAAGTACCGGATGGAGCTGTCACCCTGCAGGTGGCGGGTGTGGAGGGAGGATCAACACCAGTGGATGACCCTTCCCCTGGCCCTCTCCAGGCCCTTCCTGCCCACCTCCCGCCCCCACCCCGCCTGACGAGGCCACCTTGCCACAGAGGTAGACGATGTTGGTGTCAGGGTCAAAGAAGGGCAGCAGGACACCGCTACTGGTGTCTAGCTCCTGCAGGGACAGCGGCTCCTCCAGGTGCTTCTGTAGACACAGGTGAGAGGTAAAATGCCAGGCCCTGGGATGGTGGTTTTTCCCTGGGCAGTGACCTGTGAAGGCCCTCCCAACCAACCAGTGGGAACACCCATCTCATGCCTGGGTAAACCGAGGCCCAAGGCCATCCTGCAAGGCAAGTGGCAGAGCAGGGACGAAACCTCTAGTCTTGATTCCCAGCCCCGGGGCCCTTGGCTTCCTGCCCCGGCACTCACTGTGTCCCACAGCGCCACCTGCCGCTCACTCATGCGGCTGAAGCCGGTGGTCAGG